ATAAAACTCACTAACCGTTGAAAAGAAGACTTTTAAAAGGCTATTAGTACTATAATACATCTTCACCGCTAACCCACCTGTCAATTAAAATGGAAAACATATGAGGTTTACCAAAGCAACCTAAGTTATAAATATCACAGTAGCACTATTCATTGGATAAAGACGCTGAAATTGCCACCAAAAAACGTCCGGCAGAATAACATACACTGAAGTGCTGCTTTACAGTTGTGTCTGTGAGTCTACATTTTATTAGCTCAAATATTTTGGTATCTGCACTGGATGCAGAACTCCGCCTGCCGGAACAAGCTGGCTCCAGGAAAGGCAAACCGCGTGCGGATCGAAATGTAACTCCACGCATCGTCATCACAGAACAAAGCATAGAATGGTAGTCAAACCTCTGCCTCAATTTCATCGACTTCGAAAACTCCTTCGACTGACAGCGTTTCCCGAGAAGTAATTTGGAAACTGCTATAACACTTAGGAGTGCAGTGCCCCAAATCTTTATCAGCCTCATTCAACAACTGGCTGGCTATATGACAATGCCACATGTCAAGGTGATTCACAACAGAAAATCCAATCAAGCCATTGAAGTGAGTGAATACAGGAGTAAGACAAGGCTGCCTATTGTCACCGATAATATTACTAATTCTGGTGGACTGGAATATGCACCAGACTGTGCACAGGGAGTGAGAAGACGAGAAAATGTTAGACCAATAGGAAGACTATATTAAAGATCTGGATTGCGCGCATCGGTGATTTATGTCTAATGTCACACAAACTCGAAGACTTGTAGGCGGAAACCAACAAAATGGCTGGAGAAGCCGCCAACAAGGACAGGACTCCGGGTGAACATAGAGAAGGCGGGGGTGACGAAGATCATCAACCAACAGCGACAAAAAACAGCACCAATAAACATCAAGTGAAGAAATTTGACAGAGGTTACTTCCTTCACATCATATCCGACTACGAAGCATCATTTCAGCCACAAACATATGGCACAAATGAAGATTTCAAATCTAGACAAGATCAGAGAGACAAGATACACCCGCATCAACCTGCGATCATTTTGGAAATCCTTTGCACTCCACCTCAGCATAAAAAACAAGATTCACATCTTCAACACAAATGTGAAGTCGGTCAGCCAGTTTTTCCTTGGCCAGTGCATCATGAAAAGCCTTTGCAACAGCCTGTTGCAGACTTTTACCAACATCTGGCGCCTTTGCTCTACACTGAAGATCAAATGGCCAGCCAGAAGGAATTAGCAACAAATTAACTCTGTAATGGAACAAACTACCCAAGAACCTATCGTTCAACAAATATATAGGAAAAAAATGGAGGTGGATTGGGTACATCGCCCTCGATACAGGCCATTGCTCGAGTGGAAGCCGAAGAGGGAACGATGAGCAGGTCGTCTAAGGTTGATATGGAGGATATCATGAGAGGAGAAGATGAGAGGTTATAGGTAGCGGTGAGACCACAGAAAATAAGACAAAGTGGAGATGTTGTTGAAGGCATAAGTTCCACTAGAGATCCAAGGGAACAATAATAATAATCTGTGTATTTGGAGTAGCTAAATAAGATTTGTCAATTCAGCATGCACAGAGATTGTCTAGTTGCACAACAGTAAAAGGAATGTGACTGAAACATTGTTGTTGTTATTGTTAATAACAAAAGAAGTAACTAAAAACATTTCCAATACCACAGTTGTTCACATACTTTAATTAATTCACCATAGAATACAGATGGATATCTTTCAGTAGAAATTGGCTTGTACAAGTGAACTTTATTTCAGCTCCAATACGTAAATAAAATGAATTCATCACTTTGAATTACAAATACCAAAGTATTACTGGAATTATTCAGTGAATACCATTCACTGAATAATAGTTACACATCTGCCTAATCATGTCTAAGATTATGCGTTAAGAAAAATTGTAGGTGCTTGGAAATTCAACAAAACCTTATATATATATATATATATATATATATATACGCATTAAGTACACAAAAAAACCAACCTCTCACAACACCACCAACTACATGAAACTGAAGATGGAAAACTGGATAATAAAAATGGCATGAATATCAGTTTTAGAGACATAAAAAATATTACAAGCACCCTGTACACTTTAAAAACAGAATAAGACACCAATAAATTGTTATGACGAACGGTATCTGTACTAATAAATAACAAAAGATTAGATTATAGAGACTCCGTGGATTTCACATATATTAAGCAACTCCATGTGCTTCGGTGGTACAGAGGTAGAATGCTTGCAAGCCACCACTCGGTCGGTCGGTCGGTCGGTTTTCGACATAGAACTTTGCACATATGTGCGGCAGTTCAAGTCGCCACAATCTATGTAGCACGCAAAGCAAGAGAAGAAAGTAGAAGAAATGCATAATATAGACAGTAAAAAGAGGTGTGAGACAAAGGAATAGTAATAACGAAGAACAATATAGTTTCATTGGAAATCATAAGTCACAAGGAGTGGATGCATCTGCGCCACTGAGAACGATTTTGAGCCATGTCACCAATTGTTTCCAACCATTGGTTTTTACCATCCCGGGGGCCCCAACCAGGAAGTCTACATCTTCCTACGTGGCTTAGATTAACTGTTGTGGATTTCATTGATTGGTGCCATGTTTTCGTTTGACCGCCGCTAGCTCTTTTCCAGCCTGACCCTATATCAGCTAACATTGCCCGTCGAGGAAGGCGATGACTAGGCATTCGTAGCACATGTCCTAACCATCTCAGTCGAAGTAATTTCACAGTCTCGTCGATTGATTTCCCCGCCTTACCTAGCACTCGACGCCTAACCTCAATATTGCTCACCTTATTATACCACTTCACGCGGGAGATAGAACGCAGACACCTATGATCGAACACAGCTAATCTTTTCATGTCTTCTGCTCTCAATGGCCAGGTCTCACAGCCATAAAGGAGGACGGAGCGGACTGTTGAGCAGTACACACGCCCTTTGGTCGATAGTCGGATATCGCGTCTACGCCAGAGACGGCGAAAACTGGCGAATGCGAACCTAGCCCTCTGTATTCGTGCTGAAATTTCGTCGGAGATCAACCCGTTGGGGCTGATGGTACTTCCCAAGTAAGTGAAGCGGTCAACGTGCTCTACCACTTCACTTCCTATTTCTAATCTAGGGGTCGATGAAGTCCAATCCTGCAGCATCATCTTACATTTTATAGGGGCGAATCGCATGCCAAACATGCGGAGATTGTTGCTCAGGGTGTTCAGTAGACTCTGCATTTTGTCAGAGTCCTCGCCTAGAAGGACTATATCGTCTGCATATTCTAAGTCAACGAGATTATTCCCTGGTAGCAAGTCAATCCCTGAGTCGCTGAAGTGAGTTAGGGTTAAGTCCATTAGTACATCTATGATGAAATTGAATAGGAATGGGGATAATGGGCATCCTTGACGGACGCCACTAGTCGTCACCACTTCAGATGACAACTCGCCATAAGCCCTCACCTGGCTGCACGAGTACGAGTAGAGTGCCTTAATCAGTGCAATGTATTTTCTTGGCATTCCCTTTACAGCCAAGCATCGCCAGAGAACTTCCCGGTCGACAGAATCGAATGCCGCCTTTAGGTCAAGAAATATAATGATTGTCGGACGCCGGTAGGAATGCCTATGTTCTAGAATCTGTCGAAGGGTGAAGATGTGATCAATACACCCTCTACCTGGCCTAAAACCTGCCTGGTTTTCTCGTGTTTGTGTCTCCCGAGCACCACTTAATCTACGCAGTATTATTGAGCCTAGGATTTTAGATACTATATTAGTCAAGCTAATCCCTCTGTGATTATCACAAGACGACTTGTCCCCCTTCTTGTATATCGGGATGATCAGTGACTTACACCAACCCGATGGGACTTCCTCTGATTCCCAGACGCTGCCTAGAACCTCCGTTAACGCAGACAGTAAACTGTCGCCTCCGTACTTAAATACCTCTGGAGTCAATAAATCAGGTCCCGCTGCTTTGCCTAGCTTCAGATTGGTGACAGCTTTAGTAACCTCGGTTAAGGACGGAGGACCTGTGTCTATCTCCCATTCAGGGAGGTGTTGGATGTCCGGTAGGTTAAGTGTGGCTGAGGGCCAATTAAACTGCTCCTCATAGTGTTCTTTCCAGCGCTCCAGACGTCTATCCTGGGAGCTAATTATGGTGCCATGCCACCACTCATGTTGTCCAGGGCTCGATCCCCGGCCACCGACGCACTCCCCAACCTTGCTTATCTGGTAATAAGCCCAACAAGTAGGGGAGGGTGGTTGGGCGTGAGATTAGCAAGCCTACCCCGTAAAAAAAACACCACTGCTACCAAAACTTCAAAGCTATAGTTTGGAGCCCTGTGTCCCACTCGGAACGCATTTTGTGGTTAATTCTATTGTCATTAGGATTTTCTGGGCTTTTAACATCTAACATAGTAGTGGTGGACAGCAAAACCACAGAAAATACCTTAGTTTGCATCATATTCTTTTGACGACAATAATAAGAGTATGTCGCCGCCTAGTCTACATTCTTGCACATCAAAACGTCGGGATACACTAGATCCAATTAGTGTAAACAAAATGAATTCCCAAAATGAATGGATTTAATTCCCATACAAAGACGGAAACCACGAATCCAATATTTGTACAAGCTATACGGCATTGTGCGTCAGAGAACACATACCAATATCACACGTCGACATTTTTAACACAAAAGAGAGCCTAACGGGGGTGTGTAGAACGGGAAACCTATGCGCATACTTAGAACTTACTAGAATATAAGACATGCAGCAATTCAAGTTGAAGGAAACCTAGCTAAATAACCAACCAACCAACCAACCAAACTAACACTTCAAAAGTTCTAGTAAACTGGAGGCATTGACAAGCAAACAAAACAATAAAAAACATTTTCGTATAGAATAAACGTAACAGCGTGAGGATACGTAGATTCTTGTGAACAAAACATCATGATAAGCATAAGAACTCCGTGGTAAACCTGAGATTTTGACGCGCAAACAATATTCTTGGTTTCCAGTTGTTTACTCTCCCATTCTTCTCTAATTCTTTTCTAAAAAAGGAGGAGAAATTTGCATTAATCACTAATTCAGTGGTAAAGGTAAAATCAAGTTTTAAAAATAGTAACTAATTTTACAGTCTAGTAATAATTACTGTTGTACACATCAGTAATAACGCCAACAACTAATTGTATTTCCATGCAGTTGGCAATGGATCGCACCCATTGTATGAGAACTAGTAGTGATACTACCTGGCTGCACAAACCTCGATAGGTAGAGTGGGGTTCGAACCCACGACCCCATGGATGTAAGTTCTGTCCAGACCAATGAGCTACAATTCCATCAATAATAACAACAACAGATATGTACACCTTCAGCTATTAACAATACCGAACTAAACCCAATGAATGGGACGAAAAGAGATGACAAACAGGTCGTTGTGCTCACTCCAATAGCGAGATTTTGACAGTTTGAATCCAGGTTACTTGTAGATGTAGTACGAATGCCATTTAAACAACTTCCGTACAGTTCACTGACCACTGGTTTTTTCGAGTTTAATGGAAGAAGAGAAGTAAGCAGTACAGAGATGTCTTAGTTTCTGCATCTGACCACAACTCATTTACTAGCTGAACGTGAAGAAAAGAAACTATGAAGCCCTTGCATGTCCAGCTTGTCGATGAAAATATGAAGCATATCTTTACGGAGGAGATATCTAAACACATCTGAGTATGATAGCAGTGTCCATCCTGAAAAAGTTTGAAATTATATCCAGTCCTCTCTATAAACATTTGTAAAGGCTGTTGATATATTGCAGACAAAGGTAGCTGAACGTAAACAGATCTCTTAAGTTCGTCTCAAAACGACAAATGCGATATCTGAACATGATACAAAAAAGAAAACTTTTCGAATATAAGTTCACTAAGAAAGAGTCTTTGCAACGACACAAACAGTGGGAGGCGAAAGTGAAGGCAACAGTCATCAACTGTTTAAGCTTATTAGGGAAAAGTGGTGCGAAAAGCTATGTTAAGTGAAACAGTCTATGAGAAAGATGGAACTTGAATAACTTCTCACAAAAGGTGTGTAGAACTTGGGCAATGGGGTACTAAGGAATTCCATATTAATTTGTTTATTAGATATATCACACAGTGTAACCATTACTTTTTACTGGATTAAGTTTGAAAAACAATTCATGTATCCATCAGGGGTGCCGCTTATCGTCCCCATTTTGACTTAAATTCATTATCAATATACCGATAGAGGTAACTTTGTTCGACCTCAGTGACTTACGGTTTCATTTATTACTGGAGGAGAGTCTCGTTGATTTAGAGTATGAAGGTGACATAGTCGCCCATCAAATGTATGATGCTGCAAGACTAGTTCACACCGACTCCCTGTATAGGGGATAAAGAGTGAAGTGGTTACGGGTGTTGACCACTTAACTTATTCCAGAAGTTGTATCGTCTCTAGTGAACTGACTGCTGACAAAATCGAAGATCAGATGAAAAAGCTTGTATGGCAGTTGTTAAATTACGTCATCTATGGCATAGATTGACGTGATATTGGGTTATTAATTAAGAGACATATACTGTCGAACAGTTCGTTCTGCCTTTCCTCATTGCTAACTTGGACCCTGAGAGAGGAAGACATGAACAGATAAGTGACTTTTGAGCAAAGGTGTCTTCGTTCAGTTTTACACTTTAGGTTGTTCGATGTGGTCAGTAATGAGATTAGGCGTAGATTGTAAGGAGAAGAGGGAAATTCAGACATAGAATCAGGTTGAAAGTGTTGGAGATGACCGAGCCAAACATGTTATCACTCCATGTAGAGTAGTATATATATATAAAGGCTTTTTTTAACACTGGCAGATGCAATCTAATTTTTTTACGAGTTAGAAACGCATAAAGAAAAGATTGTCAGAATGCATAATGAAAAGTAAGATGAAAAGTTGAACATAACATATTCGAAACAGGATCTGAACTTCGGGTCATCCCACAGTAGGATTACTGAAATGTTTGACTAACATAGCACAACAGTTAATCAGTAGCAAGGAAAATCTATGGTAGGAAGCAAGATATAAAATAAGCCATGTAGCTTAATAATTACCCCCCAATATATATTCACTCGGAAATATGTATGAAATTATACGAAAAAATAGACGATACAAATACTATGTAGATAAAGACGACGGGAAAAAGAAGAGGAGTTAAAATGTTTGTAGAGGTAGAATTCCAGAGGGCAGTAACCAAACTGGTGTATAAACCCATAAACTTGCTTATAAATTGTGCCAACTTAAGGATCCTGTGGAGTTCATGAAATGAAATAGTTTATCAAATACCAAGAAACGAATATGAGATCCAAAAGAAAGATCAAAGCAGCACGCTACGATCAGTTAGAATAGTCGAACACAAACTACTGGAAGAATTTATACAACAGGATGAGACGAGGTGGAAGTCCAAGTATATGACACGGAAGTTACTTGCTAAATCACCTCAGAATACCTGTTACAGGAGTGATTCAACATGAAAACAAAACACGTAGATCAGCAAAGAGTCTCTTTTCGGCGAATTCATCTTCTTAGCTGTACAATCGCAAATATATATGCATTGTTTTGTATGTATGTGTACATTAAGTTTGTCAAACAAAGTTACAATCGGTTAAGGTTAATTTTAACTAAACAAGTGAAGGTTGGTAATACAGGTCAAGAAAATTAAGTGTTAGTGAAACTAGGGTAGTAACAAAGGTGATGAGTTGTCACAAACAGTTGTTAAAAGAAGTTATGCAATAATAATTATTATAATATTTTGATGAGTGAGTTTTACTCAGGATGCACATAGAAACAAAGTAGATAATACGAAACTATGTAAGAGATCTAATTGAATACAAGAATCATAAGCAACTAAGGAACAGGCAAAGAAACTAAAATTAAGTTATCAAAATAAAATAAAAACTCAAAAAAAAATCAAAACATTGTTACCATGAGAGTAGAAGTGGTTGAGTAATCTTCTTTCGTATGCACAGCTCCGGTTTTTCCATGTGAATGGCTAGGGCTTCAGCGACTGTTTGTGACAACTCATCACCTTTGTTACTACCCTAGTTTCACTAACACTTAATTTTCTTGACCTGTATTACCAACCTTCACTTGTTTAGTTAAAATTAACCTTAACCGATTGTAACTTTGTTTGACAAACTTAATGTACACATACATACAAAACAATGCATATATATTTGCGATTGTACAGCTAAGAAGATGAATTCGCCGAAAAGAGACTCTTTGCTGATCTACGTGTTTTGTTTTCATTAATGCCTGGATGGGGATTATCCATGAATTGAAATGATTCAACATGCCCCCTATATATCTGCGAAATTCAACTATCTCGTTGACAAGGGGGAAAGAACTAGAACTATAAAAAACAAGTTTCAAACTAGTTACATTTGATATGATGATATCCTAAACGTCATCCAGTAAATAACACCGCTTCGGAAATTAAGAAACTCTTCATGTAATTATTCTCTACCCTATACATCGTTCACTGTAGCAATTTTACATAACACACTTGTGCACATTTACGTTGATAAGTCACAGACTTTAGTGCAGTAATCATAAAAAGGAACAGGAAAATCTGGAGCCTAGATTTTAGTAGGTTTGCTATCATTTAAATGGAATAATAATAAACAATTACACCTACCTGAGCTTCTTCTTCACGTTCCTTTAGAAGCTTTCTATGACGACAGTCTTCTTCCCACTTAAGCTGTGCCTCTTTTTCACGTTGTAACCACTTCTGTTCATTACGCTCACTAAAGTGAAACTAAAAACAAGCAAAAGTCGTACTGTTCAGCAGCTTCAAGTGCAGCCAACTCCAATTCTTTGGCCTGTTGTGCCTGGTACGTTGGAGAGAGTTGCAATCGACTTAACTCTGAAAGTATACATTAGAAGATAGAAATTACAATATACCTTGCAATTCCTTTTCTTCATTTTCCTGTGCCAACCTTTGACGTTTACGTTTCCTTTTTAACTTTTTAAGGAAAGCACGCCTTGTACGATGTCTGATTATGAGCAATGCGGTCATAAATCAAGCACATACGACATATGAGATAAGTCCATTTCCACGGAAATTTACCAAAAATAAGAGCAAATTATCATTGAAACAGATTATTCTGAGAGGCTTTTGGACTACGCGACCAACTGGAAACCTTCATAAGGCACAAAAATACTGAAAATACAAAAAAAGTGCAGATGTTAGCAATTATGAGTCACTTTAAAATCATTAACATCTTAGAAGACTGGTATGCAAACTAGTGTTCATTGCAACACATATACTTAGAAATAACTTAGGCGCCAGTGGTTGAAGTTTCTATGCCTCTAAGCCTCAAATCTATTCAAAATATTTACATACAAGTGTCCCAGAGTGGATCCTTTGCCTAGGAAAAAAACGGACACTAAGGACTGGGACTAACAGAAAATGGTCACTTTTAAAAATTCTAGATGGCTGGCATGTAAAGTCTTGCACCTAATCGAACGTCAGTGAATTTAAGAAGGCTAAGTGGTGCAGCAAAAATAACCTCGACATAATTTCAATACAGTGGGAAATGCTATTTGAATAAACTTAGACTGCTCCTACCCAGCTATTATTTTCTTCAGGGGCATTGTAGAACGTGGGACAGTGATCTACAGTCTGTCTCGTAGATTCTGCAGTGTTAATGAATGTGTATAACTGGTTGAGTGGTTTCCAACAACATTTACAATCCTGGGACTCTATTCTTGTACTTCGTCAACATAACCTTCGAATAATAACATCAGAGATTTCAGTCAACAGGTAAGCAACACGTTTTCACTTATAGTAAATCCAGCCACGTGCTTCAGCAGAAAGCTTATGCTCTTAATTAGAATACACATTCTATACAACCCTTAAAAACGCCTGAAAATGGATAAGACACATTAAGGACATGAATTTTTCGATCATATTAATAAACACTATACAAAAAGGAGGAAAATAAGCCAACAAATACAGAAAGTCACAGATCGAGGTACGCGCTTCAATATTGATGATCCAATATCCAATATCGTTTTAACAAGCTAGTATAAACCAATTTGATTTTCTTGTGCTCGCCTCTTGATTGTGAGGTATAGGTTCCTGATCTTCGGTAAAATTCTGCGTAGCTCATCCCGCCACTCGACAATCGTAGCTTTGGTTGACTCCAAAAGGAGCAGTTCTGGGATTAATAACTGTAGTGGTTATGTAAAGAAGACAAGACTGAGGAGACTGAAAGGAATGTTTATTTGGTGAAACGTATGGTACATAGCTAAATTTGGAATACCATATTCTCAACCGGCTATTTGCACATCTTTACCGCATCCTTGACGAATTGGTCGAATATCGTCTCATTCGATAGCTTCTTGGATTCTGCATCATATGGCAACATTCTTCTTATGGTTCTCTTCTTTGAATGCTCTTTCCAGTGTGCCAAACATGTTGTTACTTCGTTCCTGATATACTAATTATATCGGATTATAAGTAGCACTCACCACACTCGCCCCCTCATTATAAAGTCTCTCCTGTAACCGCCTTGATCGCCGCACAGACGTTTCATCCTGCTGCTCTTCTAGTACCTTGTCTTGACATTCTTCTCTCCATCTTTGTAGCAGACTGGCGTTTACTCTTTTCTCTTTATCTCCTCTCTTTATTGTGTACACCGGACCGCGTCTCGATGTGACCACATATGGTCCCTCCCACTTCGGCAGAAGCTTTCCTGATCCTGGTCCACTGCCGGTAGTATACTTTCGTTCTCTACATTTCACCTGGTCACCTACTTCAAACGGCTTCCAAGCTTTGATTTGTTTCTTGCCATAATTTTTGATGTCTATCTTGCGCTTCTCTTGTATATTCTGAATAGCTTGTTTCCGCTCACTTGTCCATCTCTTACTGTTCCATTTTTGTTGTTGTGGCCAAGTCTTATGGTGCACCGGTAAGCGTGGTTTCCTCCCATACATCAGCTGGAAAGGCGACTTTTTTGTTGTCCCTTGTACTGTGGCACGATGTGCTAGTAATACCAACGGTAAGTCAGTTTCCCAGTTGCCTCTTTTCGCAGCTAGCCATTCCTTGAGTGTGCGATTGTTCCTTTCGGTTAAGCCGTTTGTCTGCGGATGATACGGAGTCGCTCTAATCCTCTTAATACTCAGTGCCTCCAGACGAGTCTTGAACTCCTCACTTTCAAAACAGGGGCCTTGATCTGTCAATATCATTTTTGGTACACCATGATCCGCCACAATATGTCGAATAACCGCCTCGGTTACGGTCTTGGCGCGCTGATCTGGAATCGCTATAGCATTTACCCACCGCGTGGCGTGTTCTGTCATCATTAAAATGTATTGATTTCCACTTGCTGTTTGAGGGAAAGGACCCATTATGTCCACGGACCATAGGTCACCAACCGCCGTTACGGGTATCGTTTGTAGCTGTGGTCGAATGCACCGATCACCCTTCATCAACTGACACTGTGGGCAAGCGAGTATGTAGTTTGCAATATCGCTTCTCATGTTTGGCCAGTACGCACTTTGGCTCACTAGGTCGTATGTTCGTGCAACTGCTGTATTGGCTAGTTGGTGGCATTCTTGAATGACCCCACGACGAAGGCTTTTTGGTATCACTGCAACCCAGCTACCATCACTGTCTTTCCAAGTTTAGACGCCGGCAGCGTTTAGTTTGAGTCTATGTTTTTGCTGCAGTAGCATCTTTAACTCTCTATTCTCTGCTGCCATTTCAATTTCTTTCCCTTCACGTATCATCTGAATGACTGTCTTAAGAGTAGGATCCGACTTCTGGTGGCGAACAAGTTGTAAGGGATCTTGCTCCAAAGCGTTTACTGCATACGCTACCTCTGGTAGTTCAGTCTCATTATCTGATCTCGACAAATAGTCAGCTATTACATTTTCTTTTCCTGGAATATGTCCAATCGTGAAGTCATACTCTTGTAGGCGTAACATCCATCGTGATAACTTCCCTCGTGGATCCCGTGCTGTTTTCAACCACTGAAGAGGTTTGTGGTCGGTCTCAATGTGGAATCGGTGGCCGATCAGATATGGTCTCCATTTTTCTAGTGCCCAAACAATGGCTAAACACTCCTTTTCCACCGTAGAATACTTCTGTTCTGCAAGTGTCAACACACGGCTAGCGTATTCAACAACCCCATCCGTTTGTCTTAAAACAGCACCTATACCATAATCACTGGCGTCTCTCGAAACTGTGAACTGCTTCCCCGGCGCTGGCAGTTTCAGCGTCATCTGTTGACCATCTAACAGCTCTTTAATTCGCTCAAACGTTTGCTGTGCCTCTTCCGTCCACATGAATTTTGCGTTACTCAGCAACGTATATAGCGGTTTTGCTATCTCATTGAAATTCTTGACAAATCGGCTGTAGAATGCCGCTCTTCCCAAAAACTGTCTCAGCTTTCGCTTTGAATTTGGCACTTCGCTGGTTTTGACTGTCAGGATCTTCTCCGGCAATGGCCGTATTTCACCATTTCCCACTTTGTAACCCAGGAGGATAACCGTGTTTTTAGCTATTTGGGACTTGTTCTTATTAATCCGCAATCCAAAGTCATCAATTCTCTTTAAGATAGCTTCGATGTGGTCTATATGGTCGCTTTCCGTCTCACTATACACCACCAAGTCATCTCCATATACTTCTACGTTCTTCAGACCCTTCAGTAATAAGGTCATTAATCTTCTGAATGTAAATGGGGCACCTACCAATCCAAATGGCATTCGTTTAAACTGGTATTGTTTCTGCCCAACTGTGAACGCTGTTTTACTTCGATCACTTTCTGCTATTGGGATCTGCCAGTAACCCGATCGTAGGTCGAACACGGTGAATAACTTGGCTTTATGAAGGCGATCAAGAGTTTCTGTTACGGTAGGCATTGCACACTGTTTCACTTCGGTGAGGCTATTCATCTGTCTGAAGTCGACACAAAATCTATATTTCCCGTTAGCTTTCTTCACCAAAAGGATTGGCGAACTGTACGGACTGTCGGCTTCTTCGATTATTCCGTCGTTTAACATTTCTCTGACTTGCCGGTTAACTTCTTCTTCAAGGTGAACCGGAACTCGTCGCGATGAAAAGACTGTCTTCCCCGTATCCTTTAGTGGGATGTTATGCTTAACCTTATCACAATAACCGTATGGGACTCCATCACTAGTGAATAAACCGGCATATTTACTCATCAACGTGGTTAGACGTGGTGCATCTTGCGGAACAATGGTTGTGGTTTCCACCTCAGCGACTTCACTATTCTCATGTATCGCGAATTGCCCGTGTTTTGTGACCACTTTTCTATTCTTCATATCGATTACAGCTCCTACTTCTCTGAGAAAGTCTGCTCCCAAAATCGTTCGTCTTATATCAGAAGTTACAATAAACGGATATCGTATTTTTCCTGCTCCAATCTCTACAACGCAGTCTGAAACGCCAAGAATGTGCAACGGATGTCCTCCTACCGTCTGAACTGCTAATGTGCACGGCCTTATTTCCTTACACTGTTCTCTACCTATCAACGAAACTGCCGCCCCTGTGTCGATCAAACAAACTATTTCTTTTTCGTTCACCCGTAATCTCCCGTACACTGAACCTCTTTCGACTAACCCGACCACCTCTAAACGCGACCGAGAAAAAGAAGGAAGACTGTATCGTTTAAGGTTTTTCTGCCTTCGTTTCGGGCAGTTTCTCTGCCAGTGACCGGTTGCTCCGCAAGCAAAGCATCTGTTGTTTGTTCTTTTCTTTATCTGCATAGCTGCAACCTGTTGTTTCAACTCTTCAATCTGGTCTTCGATCTTCTTGGAATCTTGGCCCTCCGACATCACTGGAGCAACATGCGAGGTCATTATATGCCTTGTCACCTTGGCCATTTCATAAACATCCATTGGCTGAGCTGCGTTAACTAGCTGCAACTGACGCGCGATATCTGTCGGGACGCATTCGAGGAACTGAGATGCAAGCAACTGCTCCCGTGAATCTTCGTCTAGGGTGGGTAACGCGCGTCGCAGGTGATTCGTCAGCGTTACTGCGAGAACCAACGGATCCCCATCCTGGCCAAGTCTCAGCGTCCGAAACTTCTGCAGTGCCTCTTGTCTGTCCGCAGAGCTGTCGAACTCGCACACGAGCCTCTCGACGACCTTGTCCCACGCCGCCTCACCTTCCAGCTCCCGAGCGTTGTCGTACGCAGCCTTCGCGCGGCCCCTCAGCAGCGTCCCCAAGACAACCAGTTTCGCCTTCTGCTCCTGCACTCCAACCAGTTCCGCGACAGCTTCGAAGTCCCTGAGGAACGTCCGCACATCTCCCTCCTCGAACACCTGCGGCCATGGCACCTTCATCTCCGGCAGAGGCAGCGACACCAAATGTAAAGAAGACAAGACTGAGGAGACTGAAAGGAATGTTTATTTGGTGAAACGTATGGTACATAGCTAAATTTGGAATACCATATTCTCAACCGGCTATTTGCACATCTTTACCGCATCCTTGACGAATTGGTCGAATATCGTCTCATTCGATAGCTTCTTGGATTCTGCATCATATGGCAACATTCTTCTTATGGTTCTCTTCTTTGAATGCTCTTTCCAGTGTGCCAAACATGTTGTTACTTCGTTCCTGATATACTAATTATATCGGATTATAAGTAGCACTCACCACACTCGCCCCCTCATTATAAAGTCTCTCCTGTAACCGCCTTGATCGCCGCACAGACGTTTCATCCTGCTGCTCTTCTAGTACCTTGTCTTGACATTCTTCTCTCCATCTTTGTAGCAGACTGGCGTTTACTCTTTTCTCTTTATCTCCTCTCTTTATTGTGTACACCGGACCGCGTCTCGATGTGACCACATATGGTCCCTCCCACTTCGGCAGAAGCTTTCCTGATCCTGGTCCACTGCCGGTAGTATACTTTCGTTCTCTACATTTCACCTGGTCACCTACTTCAAACGGCTTCCAAGCTTTGATTTGTTTCTTGCCATAATTTTTGATGTCTATCTTGCGCTTCTCTTGTAT